TCTGCTTCGGTTGATTACGATAGGTAGAAAATATAATTATATTTCGCGCGTTTACGAGATTTCTGCACACGTTGTTAAGCTCGTTTCTTCTTTTCTTTTTTCTTGTACACTTCATTTGTATTTTTCGCGAGTTATACGCGCGCCATACGTATTTAGCTGCTAGTGGGGCTCTTACCGTTATATTTCGGTGTGTAAGTGTATGTGTGTGTGTGTACGTTTCGAAGTATGCCGGTTTCTTATTTTCAATGATTTTTTTTTCCTTCCGTACTCCTCGCTCTTTTATATTTTCCATTCGATCTGCGGTCTGCGCGCGGCCCGTCGTCCAAGTCGAAGCGAGTTTATAATGCACACAAACGTAATGTTGTCGAAAAGAGGAGTGTATAAATAATTTACGTAGATTTTCTCTATGTAAAGAGAGAGAGATAGAGAGAATAATTAACTGCACGAACGATAAATCATCAAAAGCATAATCAGCTGTTTCTTGTATACGATTCGTGTCTGTACGTAAGGAAGCTACACTCGTGGCGTAGCTTTTCAATCAAAATGGTGAAGAAACACGGATCCTCTCCTGAAAAACACAGGAGCTACGTATCCGTGAAACGAGCAATTTGCGCTTTAATTACTTTTTAACGCGGCTCTGTTACAGTGATATTTTACGGCCCATCAGCCTCGAAAGTCAATATAGTAATAACGAAAACTCCTACATATATACACGTGTAAATCCGAAAAGGAGCTACGCGAAGGATTTAAACTCTCCGTTAAATAATCTTTCCAGACATTATATTACAAGTGAATGGCTCTTCTGCAACGAGCCAAGAGCGTAGTGTGTACTGCATTGTATTGTCTGCAGTTAGTGCCAAACCTTCACCTTAACATTGCTCCGCAAGTTCGTTCGAGAAAGAGAGAGAAAGATGAGTTTCGTAACGCCTCGCATTCTCGATTCGTATCGTGAGAAAATTCACGCGGCTTACAAATTTCGCTATCCATTGTTTCGCTTTGCAATCCTCGCGCGCGAGGCAAGAAAAGAAAAAACAAATCTCATTAGTCGCGATATGTGCAGGTGCGATTGGAGTCATTAGTAAAACTTATCCTCTCGTGGCTCGTTGTTATTTTTTTTTACTAGCTCCCTTTACCCATTATCATGCAAATAAAACTTCGTTTATACTTTTAAAAACTTCCTCTAGCGGCTCGATGCACAGTGGAAAATTGCCTCGAAACTGTTATAATCACGGCAGAGAAAGAGATCCTTGTGCCTAGTCAGCTAGATATAATGCGAGAAAATATATGTATCACCGCAGCTCGATGTACATGGCAGTAAAATTAGTCTTATTAGGATTATACATATCCGCGTGCACGTACAAAAGTTGAGAGAATCGTGGCAATATACTACGTTGTACATGTGTCTACCTGCTGATGCTCTCTTGCTCTCTCATTGCGCTCCAGATATATATAAACTTGTGTGTGTACACGAACCTCGTGCAGTCATGCCGAGCGCGTGATCGCAAACACGTATTATAGCGCACATATACGTATGTAGTGTACCAGGTGCCGAGTTTCGATCGTTCGTACGAGTGATCGAACCGATTTACATTTATATACAGTCGTTGGGGAATGAGTCGTGGTGCACGAGCGCGACAAAAAGTCAATTAGTTAAGGATGCTGAAAATGTACAGTTTCATTCACCACGAAACGATATGTATACTTTTTTAACTTATCATTATTTTAAGAGAGGATAATCTTGCTTTGGCTTATACAGTGGTCTTGACTTTGCCACTTGCAGATTTACAGATAATGGGTGTTCGCCACCTAGCGGTGGATGCTGGCTTCAGTCGCGATTGAATTCTCATACATTTTTTGAGTAACAGTCAACGCCAAAGATAAATAAGAATTAAAATGTGAATTTTTAATCGAATTAATTTGGGTATAGAATTATTATTACTGTTTTCATTTGAATAAAAGGAATGTATGATTGCACTTTCGTTCACTTTTTGATCAGTTACAGTTGAAAATTCGGACAAAAAATGCATGAAAATGCATAAATTAACAAAAAAATTTGATTCGATTCTCAATTATAAATATTTTGATTAAAAATTAACATTTCAATCCTGCTTTTTTTACTTTGATTTATCAAAGAATTCAGGAAAATTCAATCTTTACTAATACCAGTTACAATCACTAGATGGCTAGTTACCTGTGTCTGTAAATCTGTAAGTAATATAGTAAAGATCATTTTATAAGAAAAAGCAAGGTTAGGAAAAATTTTGAACGCATTTTCTAAGCAGTTCTTTGAAATTCAATGTCTTGTTCGGCAACAAATCCGTCGTTACTAGATTCTATCGTTATTAGCACAAGCATGCTTAATGATGTTATTGAATACAAATGTACAAATTCAGTGTATTTCCCGTTTTACATGAGAAGTAGAGTCAATGAAAAACTAAAAGGAAATGAACATAGTTTATATTGAATTTATTCTTCTAAAATTTTAAAATAACTCTATACATTTAATTTAAATCATATGGATTTTAATTGCCCAAAAAATTGCGATTCAAAATGTTTTTTGAAATACATTGCCATTAATTGACTGGTTTTTTTACAATTTTTCTGTAACTATCGGGTTAAATAATATTAAATAATCTGAAAATTACAATTTTATTTTTCCAAATAATTCAGACTATTTTTCAACCTCTTCGAACACGATGATACGACTTTCGGCTTCTACCACTAGATGGCGAGAACCTTAAAATGTGTAAATCTGCAAGTGACACAGTGAAATTAATTGTATAAGACTAAAGATGGTTTGAAACTAAATTTTCGTGTTTTAATTAATCGTATCAACATTTTCTAATAGCTAATAAATAGAGTCACGAAACTCGAAATACCCATCGAGCGATCGTCGATGCATACCCTGAAAATCCTCGTGCGAAAGCTCGAATTATGCGTCGCCACTTTGAACCCACCTTCATCGATTCGTTCGATAAATAGCTCGGTGTCCCGCATACGGGCACGTATAGCCGCGAGCAACAATAACAACACCGGCTACAGCAACAACAACATGTTGTGCTCGTGTGCATTATAAACGCTTTCACCTGCGCGGGGCATTGTCTTTATTGTAAGCTAATGCATTTATATCTCTTGCTTCCTGCATTCCAAATAGAGCTTATATATCGCGTACGGCAATATACATACACGTACTACATATCGTGGGTATGATGCATATAAATTTCTTCCTCCGCGATATGTGGATCGCGCACCGCAGACTCGTTGATAACGATATGTGTATATAAAACATGTACGCGAATAAACTTTCGGCTGGTTTCAAACGAATCGTGAGAGAGCTACAGTATATCAGTGCACAGCCGGTGCAGCGATGGATCGTGTGGTTTTTGAAATATATATTATACATCATAACTCGTTTGCGGCTTAGTGTCGATTTGCGAGCGATGACAAAATCGGTTACAAACTTCATTACAAATCGGGAATTCGGCATTCTTCTTCGGATTATTTTCTTCATTAAGTGCGGTTTCCTTCATACGGTATATACGCGCGTCGAACGGATGTAGTTTTTCATTCGATATAACCGATTTATAATACCGATTTTCGCGGTTACATCGTGATTGTAGTTTTATCGACATTACGTAAAAAAATAAAAAATCAATCTAATCCTTTTATCGTGTCTCGCTTCCAGCAAATACTGAAACATCGCAAGAAGACGAAGAAGACCCTGTGCGTGTAAGCCCGACACCACAGCAACTGCACCGCAACGATGAAACGGCAGGCCTCGCACCCGACGTTCCTTCTGGCGGGATGCCTATTACTGCTACTCGTCGCCGCGCGACAAGTTCAAGGCCACGCCAAAGTCGCCGAGGGCCGCTCGATCGATTACTCGCCCTCGAACAGTCTGTTCGACTCGAGCGACGAGGATCGCCATCCGCATCAGCAGTCGGGCAAGCCGAGCAAGTTCGACTACGATTACGGCCAGATAACGAGGACCGACGACTCGGCCGAGCACGAGGCCGAGAAGCTGCAGCTTCAGGATGACGCCGCAGCCGCCGCAGCCGACACGACGAGACGACGCCAAGACGATGTGGTCGGTAGAGATTTGTGTATGACATTCATAATGTATAATTTATGCGGCAGCTGCTGCTGCAGCTTCTGCCGTTTAACTAACCGTTAATTACAAGTCTCACTCGGACACTAGCTGTGCGGCGCGTTAAATTAGTTATGAGCCGATGCTCGCGGCTACTTACAAAGCGTTGACAATATATGTGTGTGTGTGTGTGTATGCGAGTGCACTTCAGCAAAGATATCTGTCTGTGTTTATATAGACACGTACGTACGAGTTAGAAGAAAGTTGAGACATTGCAGCAGTAGTAGGTAATATAGTGGGAGTCGCAATTTTGGGTCACTCACGTAGCAGCAGCAGCAGGCATAATGTAACGAAATGATAATACGCACTCTCGCGCGTGGTAGCCTACTAGACGTGTTTTTTTTTTCTTCCTTTTTTTTTTAAGGTCATCATTTTATATATAATATTATTTATATACGATCGTACGTGTGTGGGTACGTACGTATGATTTTTTTCTTCTCTCTCTCGTTTTTAAATGATGTAACGGTACATTTCACATGTGACGAGTCATTCGCGAGCGACGATCGCGATTCGTAATTTTTATTCTTCTTTTTGCACGTCCGTAATTTTCTCGTTACAATAAGTAGACACACACACGCGCGTATATTCATCAATCGAGACCGCAATGACATCGCTGGAAAAATTAATTATTTATGTACTCATCTCCTCCCATTGTACAGAACGATGGACTATATAATATTTATATTATGTATGTCTCGTTAATAAAAAATGTGTCACACCATTATAACAATGATTCTCATATCGTGTTCTCTTTTTTCTCGATGCGGCGCGTACGTAGGATCGATCGACGGCATCGAGCAGCGGCAGCAGCAGCAGCAGCACCACGGAGGCGACGACCGCCGAGCAGGAGACGATGGAGGAGAAGAAGAAACGGAGCGACGAAGACGCCAAGTGCAACGACAGCGACAAGAGATTCTCAGTGAAGTGTATCAAGTTTAAAATCGAAAGTTTCGTGAGGACAGCTTCGGCTCAGGACGTTTACAACGTCAGCGAGTCAGTGCAGATAGTGAAGAAGAAGGAGGCCAAATATCTTAATGTTTATAATAATAATAATACGGACAGCAATAATGATAATAATAGTAATAATAGTAGTAGTGTTATCAGTGGAGGTGCTGCATCGTCGTCGTCGCTGTTAGACGCGCTGCGTAGGTTTGCCAATAGCCATGTGCTCAAGATCAAGCTCTCGGACGCGAACGAGCTCGCACCGAGAATGTTCTTCGGCTGTAAGTATAACGATACGAGGCCACCAATGCAACAGCGGCACACAAAAATCATTCACATTATACTTATACTCGCAAGATTATATACAAAAAAAAAGTTTAACGCTTGCGCCGCTGTAGATGATATATATAATTTTACGTACACACACACAAAGCAAAGCTTGCAACAACACGCATCTGCATTCGCATATATATATCTAAACACAATAACATTTATTATAAATATACATTTGTAACAAAAAACTCACAATAGAGATAAACGCTTACGCCATATTATTACAAGCAAAAAAAAAAGGGAACTAATACCTGGCTTACTTTTGTGCCGTGTGGTATGCGCGCGCGCCGGCAAAACTGCATCGCTTAGTAACGAGCCGCGTGCGTGAGCGCGCGCGCTTCAACGCCGGAGAAACAAGTTTACACTTCGAAGAGCTACTTACTGGCCGCTCGGCTCTTCTTCTTCGTTGTTGTTTTTTTTTCTACTTTTGCGAATACGTAGGTACACGTACGCGTTAAATAATTTATACAACGAGCTTTCACCGGATATACCGAGTTACGACCGCACGAGGATCGGATTTAAATTATCGGTGCGGCACTACGCCGTATTTGTTTATTGTTTTGACGTTTCGATGGTTCAATTTTCTTGAAAAATTATCTGGTAAGTTTGTATTCGCTGATATTCGTCTATATATATCTTAAATAACGGTTGCATATGGCAATTAAATTTTTCCATGTAAAATACGCGTAAAAGCTATCAATTAATCGCGTAGAAAGCTGGCTGTATACGATTTTAATTAACCCGAGCTGCCGTATGGACGTATCATTTCAATTAGTACTGTTATCCGCGCGAGCGCAGACAATTTATCGTTTAATTATATTCGATCCATGCGTTTAGAGATATACATACATTTTGTGCTTGCAGCTTCTGAAATTTTGAAAGTAACACACACTAATACATCAAAAGCTTCAGCATTAACATAATACTCACTGATAAACGCAGCTATACTCCATTTTTGCTCCTCTGAATTATCATTTAAAATTTGTTACATTCGAGATTGACATGTGTTTGATCAACGCAGAACATCTTCATCATGCATCCACGACCGACAGACGTCATCAGCGATATAATTCTCACATAAAGAAAAACGATATATCCGCACCGCCGCATTTTTCAATTGATCATTTATAATATGGCTTGCTGATATCCTAGAGAACTAACCAAAAATAATGCTTACCTGCGGCCTTCGCTTGGGGGTGAATTTCGCTTTTGTGCTTGCAGCTCCCGCACTGGGACAGAATACATTTTTAACGGGCTTCGGGCTTGGTTTTCTAGCGTTCGGCATCAAGAAGCTGCTGCTGCCCCTGTTCATCGGCGTGCAGATAGTCAAGAGCATACTCATCGCCCTGTTCCTGCCCAGCATCATTGGCAGCCTCGGCAAGATCGTCGGAAAAAGTGAGTACCGCATGCCTGGGCGAAAAAATTCAAGTTGGCTGGTAGAAATGCTCAAGATGACTGAAAAATGACTATTCGAAATATTTTGAAGTGAATTACTATTAACCGAATTGTTTTTAATATGAAAATTATGTTAAAAATATTAAGCGCATTTTTGATGGTTTAATTTAGACCGGTTTTCGATTACCTTAAGTATGATATCAACTTGACTATGATATTGTTATGACTTCACACAAGATGGCGAGGGCCTTTATCTGTAAATTCGTAAGTGGTAAAGTCAAAATAATTGTATAAGTCAAAGCTCGATTTTTCGAGACAATTAATGCTTTGATGTTTTATATTGTGTCTTTAACTATTGAAGTTGTAATTAGATGGTAACTAGGAAGACTTTTATAAAGTTAAATATGGTCTTAAATAAAACGTGATTAAGCTTCCACCGCTAGATGGCGAGTACAGTTGTCCGTAAATGCGCAAGTGGCAACGTAAAAATAATCGTATAAGTCGAAGCACAGTTTTATAGGAATTTTGGTTTTCTGGCTAGGTTCTGTTCTTTGGCCAAAAACAAGTCGAAAAATATCGATCACTCCTTCCAGAGAGTTAATTTCGCTCACGTTGACTAGCTCCTCGATCCTGCGTCTTACTTATTAAATATACGATAATGCACAACGCACTCCATAACTGTGCATCGGCATGGAACTAAAGTAGCGAGTGACGTTCTCGCGCGAGTGTGTCAAGCGTTCGCGGCAAAATAGAAAGTGTCTCACATCTGCGACATTATTTGTGTATATATAATATTATACGGCGCGCGCGCGTCTTATCGCGATGAATAAATCTGGTTAACCATAGCGAGGAGGGAGGAGGAGGAGATTTAGACGCTCGAGCGCGCGAGATCGAATTCCTCGCCAAAGTTTTTCTTACGCTTGTACTTGTGTTATAAATAAATAGCAGAGCTCGCGAAAACTGTTTGATCAGCTCGGGAGAGTAAATTATACATCATCAAGTGGGCGAGGAATCGCAGATAGATAGATAGATAGATAGATAGTATAACATTTATTTCTCTATTTTCCATAAAATTACGCGCGCTCAGCCAGAGAGAGACCGAGAATCATATTTCTCTTGTATTAATTAACCAAAGCCCGAAGATTATCGTCGGTACACTTTGTTTTAAGTAAATAATACACTAGTCTAGAGCGCGGTAGCTTTTAATTACGCCTGCATCCAATATAATAATGGAACTATACGTGTGTTTGTGTACATACACAATGAAAATAAAAAAAAAAAAAAAAGAAAAAAACGGTTAGCTGACATTAATTATCGATATCGCCTCGGCGGCTCGGCGAGTACGTTGACACTGACATTGACGGGGGTACTCGAGGTTGTTATATAGTTTATAACACATCTGTGCCAGTGACGTGTAACAAATTGAGCACATGTGCAATATTACACTTATATATACGCGCGCTCGCGTCAAGGTGTGTGCATACGTGCATCTATTTCGCGATGCGCAGTCATGCACACACACACACACACACACACACACACACTCACTCACGTAGCCATAAATAATCGCGTTATATATACCCAACTTTCTAATTTTGCTAAATATGTGTCTGTGTCTCTTTGTATATAGGTGTAACCTCGTTCGCGCAGTCGTCGCACAGTCCCGGCCTGGGTGGCGCCGGCGGCCAGCCCCAGTACGACGATCAGAACTACGAGTTCAAGGACCAGGCCGACGCCGCCGCCACGGCCTACGGCGAGGACTACATGGCCCGACAGCCACTGGGTACTCTGCCGGCCTCGGCCATGTACGACGAGAGCATGCTGCAGCAGACGACCAAGTCGCCGGCGGAGATCGCCTCGAGATTCGCCTACGTCGGCATGAACGACCAGTCGTACTCGCGGATCCAGGCGCAGAGGTATCAGCAGGCCAAGAGACAAGATTACAAGGTGAGACGAGCACGCCTACTATACTATTAGTTATGAGCAAAAAGTCGGTCGGTCGTCGTCGGCGCGGTGCACTGAAATTTTAGATTTTATTATACATCGTCGTCGTCGCGTTCGATATTGGTTTCTCGGATTGTGGAGCGCGCGCTTCTCGTTTCTCGGGCTTTTGACGCCGTTATAATAAATGACGCGCGCGCAGATTTTCATCGGAGATTAAGCAGCTTATAATAAAGCGGTGTATACGGTTATTTTTTTTTTTTTTTTTATGAAATTGTGCGCATCGTTAATACTGGTAGTCTGAAATTGTTTACACCTAGCCAGACTTTAAACCCGATATCTCTGAGAAAATATGTTATTTTACATTTTCGCGGAAAATTGATGGTTGTATATTGGTATTATAAAAGGCGAGAATCAATAGTTGCTCGATGCGAATTATTGTGGTTTTGCACAGGCGATTATGCTCTGGTAGAAATGCTTATCATAAATAATGGTCCGACGATCAAGAAATAATCGTTTAATATATTTCAAATTACACCGCCATTGATCAGCTGGTTTTTGCGGTGACTTATGTGTTAAAATTATGTTAAGGAGATCTGTACCCCACAGAGTCGAAAAATTTGTTTAATTTATATATTTTTTTCTAAATCGAATATCGAAAAACGACTCTGTTCAGAGGAACAAAACGAATGCTCTCACAGAGCCGTTTTTCGATATTTGATTTGGAAAAAAGATATAGATTAAACAAATTTTTTTACTCCGTCGGTAAAAAATGTTGGGGTGCAGACCTCCTTAAAACTATTGAGCCCATTTGAAATGTCCTGAAAACGACAATTTAATTATTTAGACCAGTTTTCAATAACTTTAAAGACAAGGATAATATTTTGAGCCACCGCCACTAGATGGCGAGCACCTTTATTTCGAGTAAATCTGAAAGTGTCAGAGTCAAAATTATCATATAAGTCTATGCACAGTTCATTAATTCATTAACAACATTGTCTAACATCTTTTTGGAATAATTAACTACATTTTGTGGAACATAAAAAAAACCAAATTAAATCTAATCTATAACTCTAGATGGCGAATCCCTTCATCTGTAAATCCGCAAGTGGGAAAGTAAAAATTATTGTATAAAGCAAGCACGCTTTTGCAGTATCAACTTAACTTTCACCAAGCTCTTTTAATGCTTTCATTTCTACTACGATTATTACAACTGATAAAAGACGCATTCAATTTGAATATAATCGATTTTAAAACTGAGCCGCCACAAAAATTGGCAAACCATAATCGTAACTCGAAGGTCACCCAAGTTTCTCGAGTATAGATAAGATTGAAGGTCGTATTAATAAGGCAAATCGTGAAAAAAAAACTGTACAATAAATTCCAAGCATCCCCGCGCGTGCTCTGCGGTTTTGTATACGGTTGTCTCGTAACGCCGCGAACGCATATCGCGATCCGCGAGGTATCGTGTAGCTGCGTTTTACGCATATTATACGACCATATCGTGCGGTTCAAGGTCTACTTAATGCGCGCTCCGAATCGCCAGTTCCCGAACTCAAACTCATTTTACCTTGTTTTTTTACGCAGGTATTCCAAGAGATCCCGACGAGCTCGCTGATGCTGACCAACTACGATCCGTTCTACTCGCCGCTGCTGTCGCGCCTCGACGCCGTCTTCAGTCGGCTCGGCCACGACACCGAGGGCTGCCGCGAGTACGCCGTGTGCGCCATGTATCGCAGCCCGGCGCGCTACGCGCCCTACTCCAATCTGGTCTCGGCCCAGCTGTCGCGCGAGCTCAACGAGCTGCGCAAGCCCAGCGGCGACAATCCCGACGTGCTGCGCTTCTTCCGCTACATGAAGGCCGCCAAGGACGGCCAGGACGGGGTGGCCTGCGAGGCCGCCTACGCCGACTGCGACGAGGCCAAGGGCGACCAGACGATAAGGCAGAATCAGGCGATGCTGGCCACTTATCAGGACATAGACAAGCTCGTGCACGCGCGAAAGCTTTAGTAGTTGGAAGTAGCAGTAGTTGTAGAGATTCGTTGAGCAGAGAGAGTGAAAATGCAAACGACCGAAGGGTGGCATTACGAATATAAGCTGTTGTTGACGAGGATGTATATTTATTTATAATATATGAGTAATCGACGGGCGAGTGTGGATGTGTAATATTGTGTATGAATTGTTATGTATAAAAAATTCTCGAATCGTGTCGATAGTCAATGTACTTATATTTATGAATGATTTCGTTTAAGCGTTGTTGCCTTACCCGATTGTTTGCGTGGTCACTCGTCTTAGTTGTCTTCATCATCATTATTATTTATTTTTTTTTATTTCTTGTTCAACAAGCCGTTGTGAAGAGTAAAAAAGCATTTATATAGTTTAATCGAAACGTTCTTCGTTTTCAAATTCAAACATATCATTTCATCGTTTCATCGAGCTCCCGCAAGCTCTTGTTATTTGTTGTTAGCGCCTCATCTCGCATCATCATTACGCGCATCCCATCATCATGATTTACATTTAACGATATTTTAAGCGTATCATTTTTTCATTGCGTATCATTGAAATTTTCATTAAAGTCGTGCATTTATGAGTCATGTTGCATGTAAAGTATCCTCGCAGATCATTTATTGTGAAAAATTATGCTTGTGTGCACAGTAAATGTTCCATCGCAAAATATCCATTTAAAATTATCAACATGTTACTATTGTATCGTTAAGTAAAGTGTTTTTTTTAATATTACTATTTGCCATTACGTTTAACTAATGTGTGGATGAAGTTTTTTTAAATGTAAATTATAAATATTTATTTCATATATACCTTGGTAGAAATGCACTAATAGTGGTCTGATTACTAAAAAAAGACTATTAAAAAATTTGCTTAATAGATTATCAACGAATATCTTTATTTTGATGATTTTTCATTTACAATAGTCTAAACTAGCTTGAATCATTTGAATTATCTGAAAATGACAATTTATTTATTTCAAAAAATTTAGATCAGTTTTCAACTACTTTGAATAGGTTTAATTCCGCCTCCGCCACTAGATGGCGAGTAACTTTATCTGTAAACCTACAAGTGGAAAAGTAAAAATGAATGTATAAAACTCTGTAAGGTTTGTCAATCAATAGGATGAGGTTAAGGTGATACTCCACTATGATCCAAAGTAAATGGTCATTAAATATAAAAAAGCGCAAAAATAATCAACATAATATCACCATAAAGTGTTGAACATTTCTACCAGGGACATGAGAATTTAGATAAAGTATTGTAAAATGAAATATCTCTCAACAACAATTGAAATGTTTATAATAATTATTGTTGGAGATTTCAGTTTCTTTACTTTTTATTTACATTCTTCAAATATAAGTTAAGCTAATATAATCAAAACTCCAAATTAAAAAAAATGGTCCTCACTTTAAGTACTTCATTTTAATTTACAATTGATTGTTTTAAGTATGCATGATTGATGAATTGCAAATACCAAGACTTTTCTTCTCACATTATTATTGAATAATGGAAAAGGTAAAAGGAGAAAACTCGGCTTAGTTGCATTAAGTCAAATGTAGTTGTATAGCAATTTCAATATGTGCTGAAAACATTAGCTTCAATAATATACACGATATTGTATAAAATCCAGTTTTAAAGCCATTATTGTAAGAAAGTTAATAAATAATGATTACACATAATAAAAAAGAATATTTTTGGTAGTTTTAAGGCTAATGATATTAGTTGAATTTCATTTAGAATTAAAATAAACTAGCTCTTCCGACTATGTATTATACTTAGAATGATAAATATTCCTCACTCTATATGTTTGCAAGGAGTGTATATTGTAATACGAAAATAATTGAGGAAAAGTTAAACTAAATTTATGGAATTTCATTTTAAACGATTCTGTAAAAAAAGTAAACATGAGGTTAAAGGTTGAATAATGGAATATGTAAGATGTAACTATTTATGTGTCAGTGCCTCGAATTTTCTAATGGAAACGAATAAAATATAATTGGAAGAAAATGTTAACAATTTTTGAACGATAAATCAAATACTTAATGAAATAAATATAGAAGTACAATAATTAAATAGAATTTCTCATCTATTATGTCCCTTAAATAGGTACAGACACATCAAATCGGTACATCTACTTTATGTAAGCTGTTACCAATAGGAAGTCAGCTTTATGTTTATGCTTAAGAAGTAAATCGAAGTTTGTCAAGTATTTTCAAGTATAAAACTTTTTTTAACAGATAGAAGATAGAAGAAAACGTTGTACAACAGCAATCTTTTTAAGCTTCAAAAAAAATTGTTGCACGCATTACGCACAAAGAATCATACTAGTTTGTACCGAAATATGTATCGAGATGAGTATCGACGAGAAAAAGAAAGCTCAATCTTGTATAATGATTACGCCTCTCGAAAAGAGTTTGGAAATAGCATAATATTAGCACTGGTTCTACTCGTTTAAATTTGAATTTAAAAGATACGAGTAGCTCTTTTTGCAATCACGAAAATATAGTTAATTTCGTTCATTCATTCATTCGCGTTGAAAGTTCACGTTGCTCGTCAATGATGCAACACGGATGAGTAACGAAATTGTCAAAGCTGAAAACAAAACAGATCAAGCTCAATTATCAACCATAGATTTGATAGCAATTGCTCGACAAATTCTAACGTAAAAATTATTTGGCGTGTTTCGAAATTATGCATGAGCTATTAACGAGCTGACGTACTTGCTCCTTACTCGAGTGTACATAACTCGATACTCCTCTCTAACCACTGTACAGCGAATTAAAAAAGGCGCGTGAGTGTTTTCCCCAGACTCGAGTTACCCAACTCTCCTTTTGTCAATGGTCCGATCTATGACGCACGTTGATATATACACGAGCGAGAGAGAAGGGCGAGTGCACGAATTCGCGCGCGCAAAAAACCTTTCTAAGCTCGTATAATAATAACATAATGTGTATATACACGCGGTGGTTCAATGTCTTCCGGAGAAAGCGCGGCGCAGTCTAGTCTCGGGATTCCCAGTTTTTCTTCTAGGCGCGCGCTAGTACAGAAAGGCAATTTTGAGGCTGCAGCTGCGGTAGCGAAACAGCAGTAGCATGTTCAATGCGATAGTTTTACGAGATCTTTAATTGTGCCTCGCTGCTGCTGCAGTAGCGGCAGCGGCAAAGGTCAAAGCGCTCGAGAGCGAGAACGATAATGCGATCGTTATGATGTGTGTATAATGCTGCTGCGGCGACGGCGTACGTGCCACGCCTCGACTGCAGTAAAAGCGAATGAACGGATCACCGGAGACAAGTGAATAGAAGCTATTCGTTTCCTTTCGAAATTGATAAACGTTGTTACAATTTGTTTTCGATCATTATGGACAAAATGTTGAAATATCGATCGTAATTGCAAAAAAAAAGTAAATTACTCATCGTTATGTACTAGCGTGTACTCCAAAGGCTTTTATTTTCCACCGCGACGGCGACGCTCCTCTATACGTCAGAGAGCAAAACTTGGCAAGGATTGGCCAATTTATTGACGTCAATGCTTTCTTACACACACACACGCACATTAAACATGTACACGAAGTTGCGCGAAAGGATTCGCGGTGCGAATGATCGCTATTACGCAATAGAAACGTACATGCGGCGCGTTAGAATTCGACAATTAATTAAAAACCTTTTGGATATACTTAACGAGTACATAAATATTAATTTTCACAGGCGAAGAAAACCTCGCACGTTTATCTCTTCGGAAGTTGATAATTGCGCGCGATCGTATCGCGTCCCGCAGATTTTGCACGTTTCATCTTATGGGCGTCTCGAGAGAAACTTCTGACCACTGCTCCGCGCTCATGCGTGCGTTTAGTAATATTACGAGCTGTTATTATATATGTGACTGCTGCTCTCGGGAAGACCAGAAAATTATGTAAGCGAAATGTATCTCCAAAACTCCGCGAGCAGAGATATTAACGCACGAAAAGTTATCTCGCAAAAATCTTTTGTTGGAGTCGAAGTTTCGCTTACCCTTACGTAACGTTACGCATTATTTACGGCTCGAAAAAACGAAATTTCGGCTCGTTAAAGGTTTCGTTTATAAAAAAAAAAAAAACATCTTAGCTAAAAATTCCAAAGGCATTAGATCGAGTCGTTCGAAAGAGTATCCAAACCAAAACAACTTATTGCGACAATTTCAATTCTCCTCAAATTTAAGAAGGTAAAAAAAAAACAAATCTCAGGCCTTTTCGAGAAGGTCAATGTTTTCCAATTACACAATTGCCTCGACGAGCGAACTTTCGTGACATAACGCGCGTATAATATACGAAACGAAACTTCCAACAAAAGGCTCCTCGCAGCTTGTACTTTGGTTCGCGCTGCATTGACGTCACTGCGGCTTGAGAACTTTTGCAAGCGCATACGTACAGTACACACCACGCGCGAAATTGTTCCGGGATACGATGTATATTCTGCATCCTATACACTCGGAGAGGGATCACTTTCACTCTCGGATTTTTGTTATGATGCTGCTGCTATTACCTCACTTATACACATACGCAAAGCTCTTATGGGTTTTTGCGCGAGCGAGCGGGGGGTTGACTCGCGCCGCGGCTCGAGCTGTGTGTATATTATACAGTGTGAACGCCCTCGCGCCAACGCCGCCGACGAATTCGCGCGCATATATAAAGACCGGTGGAGCAGGTAAACTCGTACCAAAGCCAAGCCGCTCGTTACTCGAGAAGCACCATATACGCGCAACGAGCTACACACCGACGATCGTCCGATTTTGTGTAGACTTTGAGCATTCTTTCTTGTACGTAAGTGTGATTGCTTTTAATTTTTTTTGTTTCATTATTAATCCATTGATCCATCTATAACTCGCTCGCAAGATTATAAACGTATCGTAATTTCAAACTCAGCGCTTCGATTGTGTCCGAGCATTATTATATCGCCGCGAGTGAAAGTGCGTGAAAGTGGTCGATTTTATTTTTATTTTTTTTACCTTTTTTTTGTTTCGTTTCGTTGTTTCGAGTGTGCAATGTTTTTATTTGTATCTCGCGAGCTCGGCGCGTGGTCGTTATAAGTATATACGGAGTGGTGAACGACAAAAAAAACAATTTCTAATGTTTCTTTTGCCATTGAGCAATTTATTTACTTTTTCGTTTCTTGTTAAAAAATCTATCCGTGAAAATCGAGTTTGAATCGTATACCCCTGACTTGAATTATAATCTCTATGACTTAATTTGAGAGTTCTAGGTATAATTACTTATACAAAAAAGACTATGAGATTGACAAATAAATAAGCTAAACGATGACAACGACGAAGACGATGACGAAGAAGAAGAAGAAGACCCACACGACGATGACAATTCCAAACGCACAATTTATCGGAATCGCTGCTGGCACATAAAAAATGCGCGCACCTATAAGCGCCCAATGAACTGAATAAAAAGCAAGACCTACATGGACTGACACATTTTGCGTATACATTGTGTTAATTTTGCGCCAATATCATTGACCATTGTTTTTTTTTCTCTCTCTCTCTCTCACTTTTCTAATTCATTGCACATACATGTAAAAAGACGCACGTACAACACCGTAAGTATACCACATACTGTATTGTTAACACGTTCGCGACCACAAGACTTGGACATCGAAAAAAAAAAAAATAAATAAATAAATACAGACGCAATAAATACGTATAGGTGCGATTGTATCATCTTCGCTGGTACGTCGTCGACTTTCTATCATGTAATCGTTCAGTGTTACCATAGACAAGGACACGACGTAACCTGCATTTTATTTAGACCTCATAAGCTCGAAAGTTCGTACGACGAAACTTGTACGAGAAAAAAAAATTTCCACCTTGAGTCGGGGGGACCGGGTCGATGGACATCTCTCACGCCTCATCTTTCTTACAGTTTTTTTATCTTTTTGTTTCTTTCTTTCTTTTTTTTATGGCGTGCGAATATTACGGCCGCGCGCGATCCTCTCGCGGTACTTGCACACGAACGATCGCCGGCACTCGGCCGATTCTCCGAAAATCGCAAGTACACATAATGTATCTCTCTCTCTTTCTCTCTCTCGGCGCTGCGCACACAAGTGCACCATCGGTAATTGCAAAAGATCGCGCGGGCTGTACAGCAAGTAGGCTGCGGCGCGCGTGCACGACTTGGCGTCGTCGTCGTCGTGACAGGAATCGGTTCCAGCTTCGAAAATTCACACGCACACCTTTCGCAAATTTATGAGCTGCGCGCACTGCACCTGCGTTATATTATAAATACCGCCCATTCGTGCCTGCGTGTGTGTGTGTGTGCGCCGCAAGAACGTGTATATATACAGATATATTTATTTCTATACACGTTGCATGGGCAGGTTGTAGTGTGTGTATATACGTATGGACACGGTCGCGCCGTTGCGCGGCCTAACGGGAACCATAGAGCGTCACGCGGCGCACACACACACATAAACACACACGTAGAAGCTTTTTCCGCGCCGTTCGAAGGAACCGAGGCGAGGAGTGCGCATGTGATCGCGACCGGCCTGCGCTGCGAGTCTCGTACGTTCGCTCGTGTGGCGCGTACGCGAGTTTCGTATGTTTTATTATATTTTATTTCATCAAATATTATATATAAAACTCGTGCAGTGAGTTTTGAAGTTGTGTGCGTCGAGGCACCTGCTGTAATAATATCGACATTCGCGAGTACGGTACGCTGGATATTTTATAAATTCCATCGTTATAAATGCGTGTTTAGCGGCACGCATTCCTCGCGCGCATGGTGGCTTCGGGATGAATCTTTTACGACGACGAAGACGCGGCTCATCATCGAGATCGGTAAGAGATCGGTAAATATACGTGCAATTATCGCCTATATTTTTCAATTGTACAAAAAAAAAGCGAAGCCTCCAGAGAAATAATATCCGCCGCTGCGGTGGTGTGTTTGTTCTATCAATTATAATAACGGCCGGGCGTTAATGAGAGTGGGGCCTATACTGCTAGAGCTAAGCGATCGCGGGGGAAAGTGGTACGTCGATCTGTCACCTGTGTGTTTTAAGTATGTTGAACAAACGCGCCACACACATACACGGAGTGTGTGAATGGGACACACACGTGTTCGGATTTTCAGCCGCGCCGATCTAGGACGTCGTCGTGAGTCACGTATTTTATACACATCACACACGTTGTGCCCGCGGGACGCGTAACAGACACACGAAATTCAGGACCCTGTATATCGATCCCGCGAGTTTTTATCGTCACCAGTAGTGCAGCGGAAAATTATATATTATAGTGTTTTATTGTATCGATATAGAAAGCGGGGTGCATAATATAAGTGAGTGATTATTCATTTACAACGAGTGCAATTGGTGTACTTTTTAAGATATAAATTCGCTAACGGTTAATGTTTTTTTTTGTTGATATCGTCGTATACACATTCCATAATATTTTTAACGCAGCCGTGAAAAACACGTTAACTTCGTTTACCTGGAATCGTGCTATTTTTTCTTCTTTTTTCTAATATAAAATCTCGACGCGATGGAATTCGGATAAACACATTTCTCGTCGTCGCGGTGGAAAAAAAGAAGAGAGGAGAAACTTATGTGGCGAAGATTGCATAAATTAACCGTGTAATAACGTGTTTGATTTTTCTTGACAGGCGTGATAAACGGCAAAGCAGCGAGTGCGAGCAGAATGAGGTCCGACCGACCGTCGATAAAGTCGTGGCTGCTGCCGCTGCTCGCGGTAACGCTGCTGTGCCTTACCACGGCCAGCAATGCCGCCGAGGATAACAAGAAAACGGAGAGTCCTGCAGAGACTTGTGAGTTTTCCAATGCGAATATAAATTATTTTATTTAATTATTCTTTATTCCGGAATAATATAATAAAAAAAATTAATTTCGCGCAGCTCCGTTGAAAGTGGCACCAGCTCCTCCCGTAGACGGCGAGGGTCGCAATCTCTTCCGCAAGGATCTCGACGAGGACGAGGACAATTACTCCTCCGAGGGACGTCGCATAATCTACGATCGCCACCAGACGCAGAATCGCGACGGCAAGGACCTGTTCGACTGGTTCGGCCTCGGCGTCGGCCAGACCATGGACCCGTACATGGCCAAGTCGAACAAGGGCTGCCTGAACGGCGACTTCGCCGAGTGCTTCAAGTCCCGGGCGCTCAACACCTTCGCCGATTTCTTCGAGGAGCCGAGCTACGAATTGACGGAGAGCGTGAGGGTGGTGAGGATGCCGAGGAACGTCATCAGCGAGGTAGCGAGACAGCCCTACGAGTACTCGACCGAGCCCAGGTATGATTGGCACGCATTTTTCGATCGAGAAATCGATATGTATAGGTATAGATCGAGCAGATTTCTTGACGATGTGTCTCGTTGTATCGTTTCCAAGCAGATCCGAGGATACGGAGTGGGACCAGCTGGTGAAATTCGCCCTGAGAAAAGCCGAGCGATTCGTCAAGACGTCGGCGTTCGAGGTGTCGGCCCCGAGCTGGCTCATGTCCGCCAGTAACGAGGTCTACGCGCCGAGATTCCTCGACGAGATCGCCGACGAGATCGACGTGCTGGAGAACAAGAAGGACACCGTATTCTGTAAGTATATTACTTCTATGTACCATCTTAGACGAAACGAGAGTCGTGAAATACTAATCATCATCTCGTTATTCTTATAGCTCGTCACCGGCTGAGGAAAATCCTCATCCCCATGCTGATCGTCCTCAAGCTCTTCAAGCTCAAGCTCCTGCTCTTCCTACCTCTCATTCTCGGCCTGGCCTCGTTCAAGAAGCTCCTCGGCTTCGCGGCCATCGTCGTGCCCGGCATCATCGGCTTCTTCAAGCTCTACAAGCCCCTGTCGCCCTCGTACACGCCACCCATCTACTCGCCCAACGGTCTGGGCCATCCGGGCGGTTTGCACGGCGGTCTGGGTGGCGGTAGCGGATTGGGCGGTGGATACGGCCCCGGCGGCGGCGTCTTCGGCAGTCCCTACAGCAAGGAGGGCGTCAACAGCGACTTCGGCTCCAACGGATTCCATCCTTCCACGTCTTACAACGATTACGGCAACAACAACAACGACGCTCAACATTTCGCTCAAGAATTGGCCTATCAGGCCTACGCGAGGAACAACAAGAAGAGCGAGATAGAGGCCGAGACGGACGACGAGAAAAAGTCGAGAAAATAGGACGATGGAGATGATCGTCAGCGATGTTTTTTTATGTTACCTTAGTTCGTAAGTGTTCGGTTAGAAGTAGATGATTTTTTTACTCAAGTATCGAACAATCCGTCCATCGTTGAATTCATAATCGAGAAACAAAGTTTCTCAAAATCATAGAAATTGTTAAATCATCGCCAATTATACATTCGTAAGTTATCCATTAAGCGATACGTTAGCCTTGTAATATAATGTACATAATGACAGTGAGAATAACATTTGTAAGAGTGTATAGTCATTGATAGTTTTTAAGCTGTAAACGAATATCAGTAACGACGTTAAAAAAAAAAAAAGAAACTCATTTTCATCGAATACACACATCCATGATATTTAATGCCATGAAAGTATTGATCGTTTGATTGTCGCGAAAAAGAAAATAAGAAAAAAACAAGCGTTACTTAGTCGAAAATTATATAGTTCGAGCGAAGCAATAGTTAAATGCAATATTGTGTCTGTATAAAAAGTATTATTACGTAAAATAAAATATACACCATTTTAATTCGATGTTTCGAGTGTTTTTAAAAAAACTCCACTATTGGAAAGCTAATTTTACGAAGATTCCGTAAAGTCGTAGAAATCGTCCGACACCCGACGATCGAAGCCGTGTAGTACACACAATAGAAATGTACTTATACCGACTATTATGTGAAATCGAAATCTCGTTGAATTATAATTGCCGCGTAGTTTCGCGAGATATTTCTCGACCTCGCGGCAAGAATAAATAATTCATTTTTTTCTCTTCTTCTTTTTATAAACCATAAATGCTGCAATTTCGATATTGATATTGCGTGACCGATGCTATAAAATTAAGAGAGAAAAATAATAGGCAGCCAACTTTCATTAAGAAATATAATGGACTTCCGAATTGCACTCCTCGTGCGTTACGATGATGCCTCTTTTGCACGAGGATAACATACTTAACACGAGTTTAGTAGGTTAGTGTTGAGTAATACGCATAAATTTTTTCGCGTTAGAAAGTTCAGATTTTTCGGTTTAGGCATAGATAAATAACACTTGCTATTATTTTTCGATTTTGTATGATTAATTATTATTTAATTTTTTGCACAAATTAATTGTTTAATGTGTTGTGAACCACTATTGTTTCTCTCGTTGATACAATTTTTAAAGATTACAATTCAATGACGTATGCGAATTTTGAAAGTGCACACAAATATCACTATCCTAGCAACTTTTCTGACTTTAATCAAATGAAATTTCGCGCATACACACCAGGATATCAATGAAAAATCAACGATAATAAATTGAACTCGACACACTTCGCAACAATGCGCCGTCCCATTCAAAACTTCTGTATACTCTAATTCGCTCATATGCAAAAGGCGATTTCTCCTTTATATACATCTCTCGCATTATTACTCGTACAGCACGTATAGCAGCGCAACAGCGTGTCTTATATACAACACGATCGACCCTGTTTCTCGCGAATTTTACTTGATCGATCAAATAATGATATTTCGATGCTTATCTATTTTAGAAACAAATTATAGATTTTTCGTGAGTTTTGCTTTTATCTCGCTGAGAAAGTCGGAATCGTGCCGGTCACGCGAATACACACTCATGCGTTCGATCCATCATTTTTGTATATATGCTTCGAAAGTGTTTGATTGGTTGGCGATAGTTGCACCGGCGGACATGAATCGTTGTCAAATATTTTTGTTTTTAGTTACATTATAAAATTGATGAACTGAGCTTCGATCGGTGAACACGAGAACGTTTAAAATTTTTACAGATTTTCGAAAGCGATTCTACTTGACGCATTACACGTACTTTATCGAAGTTGCTATAAAATCGGTAATTTTTTTTTTGACACTGACAGCGGTAACGAAGTAGCTCGATTAATAGAATAAAGGACGTTCAGGGAAAAGAAAAGCCAATTGAAATTATAATTCAAAACATTTTGCGAAGTCGAAATGAAAGCTAATCCGTACGAGAAAATGTGACGTATGAAAGCATAAACTAATCACGCGCGGCAGCGTTAAAAACTTCAGAGAAAACTCGAGCATTGAAAGTAGCCACAAAAATTTTTACTTCGTTATAGTTATGAGGAGCTTAGCAAATGCATACTTATTGCAACCGCAACGTTGAATACTGAACGCCCTAGAAGTGAAAAAGTAGCTAGATTTTTATAGAACCTCGCTTTGACTTATACAACTATATTCATTTTACTACTTGCAGATTTGTAGATTTGAAGGTACTTGCCATCTATCGGTGAAGACTTGAAGTGGGAAAACGGGTCTTTATTTTTTGAGCAAATTAAATGTTTATTTCAGATCATTTGAAATGCGTTCGATATTGTAACAGAAAAATCTCCAAAAACTAGATAAATAATGTTAATGAATTTTAAGATATTTTACATAGTCTTCTTTGGATTTGACTTCTTTTCTGGGTAAAGATAAAAAATTAAAAAATTAAAGACTCCTAGGTCGCATCCTCGTGGGTACTAATGAATAGAAATATGTATTTAATACAAAAATTTACAGAATTTGAAAATTGTTGAACAATAAAATGTTAATAACCAAAATGAATTATTGAGATTAAAAAAAACGCTTAAGAAGGGAAACAAACTTATTTGTATGCTTCAAATATAATTTTTGAACAAATGTCACTATTACCTCATCATTTATAATTATAATTTAAACATTTTACAGCATGTCTAGATATATACAGCAACACGAGCGTTTGCAAGCTCGCTTATACCATAGATATCGGTAAATACGACTCGAGGCGCAGCTCTCGCACTTTTCCTTATGACATTATATGGTGCTCCGAATCAGGAAAAAAAAGCGTCGTGTGTGAATGTGTGTGCGAAAGACGATGAAGACGCGGAATAGATTTCCGCGCGGCGGAGCGCCTAACGAGGTCAGAGGCAGGCGAGCGAGCGAGCGCGTTTTACCGAAACGGCGTGATATCCGAGTAAATATATATAAAGCTGGTCCGGCATACATTTGTATATGATTGATTCTGTGTGAAATCGATCGCGATAAACATTAATTTGGTCTGACGTGAAAAGTATTATGGTTTTTTTTTTTTCATTTTTATGTCACCGATGCGGAGTTTGAATTTTATTAGAACTTACAATGTGCTATATTAGTTTATTGTACGATCTGAAAGTATCAGTTTTAAAATGTTTAATTGTTTGATATTTCGGGAAAAAATTTTCCAACAAATTTAAAAGAAGAATTATTTTTTATTATTAATTGACATTATAAAATCTACATGGAAAGCCATATTTTGTCCTGCGTTTATGATCATAAAAGTATGAATGCAATTGATTAGATTTTTGTTTGTATCTATAACTACATTATTTTGACTGTCAAGATTATTGTATCTAATTTTAGTAAAATACCTGTTTGAAACTCTTGTCAAAAATCACTCAGTGCCACAAAAAAATCCTGAATCTAAGAAAAATCTCAGCTTCAAGTCTCTGAAAAATAATCCTAAAATTTTAAATAAAATCATCAGACCCTTCTGCCATAAAAACCAATTATTCCAACTGAATTCTATATAATTTTCATTCATAATATTAATATCCCACACACGTTATTATGGGTTCTCGTAGCCATCGAAAAATTTCTTTCGGTGCCGCTCTTTTGGCTGCATTAATGCTCTCTGCACCACAAGAATAGGTGAAATTCTCCAGCTCTTTTTTTTTTCTTTCTTCGTACAGAACAAGTACACAACTGTACGCGCGCGCGCGCGGCGTAATTGTATGTATGCGCTCGCGCTAGGAGAGCAAGGTATCAATAGAAATCAAGAGTGACCGTTTCCTTGCATTATATTTTGCTTTTGTTATACAAATAGAAAGTCGAGCAGTAGGAGCAGGCGTCCGAGCGCGCGAGCGTGTACTATATACAGTAGGATACTCGCAGTCACTCCTTGTGTGTGTGTATGCGTGTCTGAGGAGCGAGCTCACTGTCGCTATCGGTCAAGAGATTTTTGCCCACAGCCAGATCATCGTCCATAGCCAACCACACGCATATATTTACTTCGTCGCTTGCCATTGTTGCTAGCATTGTCGCGTCGTAAGTAGTACAAGACCGATTCGATCAGACACCGAATTAAGATGCGCGCGCGCGATGATTGGCAAGTTTTTTTTTTAACGTTAGACCGATCGAATAAATTTTCGTCGTTCGGTAAAAGTACTCGAGTTTATACGTAAGATAAATGTGCACGTGTAAGCACGCGTACACACACACATGCATTAATTATTACGGCGATTCGTTAAGAGATAAAAACTCGAGATTCGCAGTTTATACGGAAGAATAAAATATGTATTACACGCAATTATAACAATTGCGTTCAGCTCTTAAATACATAAATTTACGCAACATTTTAACGAGTGCGAAAAATCTGGAAAAGCTGGAATAAGTAAGGTTCAATTAAAATTTATGTATGTAGGCGATGCTATAACTTTCGAGTTTACGACTCGCAATAATCGCGTGCGCGCGCGAGATGAGAATCAAAGATTAATGGCTCGCCGTTGCAGAGGTGTCATCGCTAGAAGTTTTTATCCTAGGGAATGTGGATCGATTGATAAAGGAAATCGAGCGTAGTAGACTGAAAAAAAAACACAAAAAGCAAATCAAAGTGATGGCAATAATAGCAGCGAGACGCGCATTGTTACACATAGTGCACGAACTCCTTTGCTGCGGCAATGACATTTGAACACGTTGTCGCGGAGGCGCGCGCGGCCATCCCGAAAAACGAGGTCACGGCCGACGAGTGTCTATACGCTACATTTATATATAGCAAAAGTATAGTACACACCGTGGAAAGAGGGAGAAAAAAACAGAAAAGAAGAACTCGTACGTACACACACACATAGCGAAGCGACGCGACAGTCGTCTTCCTTTTCGTTCGCTCGAATCTCACTTTACCCGGAAGATGATCTAGGCAACTGCAACTGCAACTTTCATACGATTGAGACATTTTTTCATTTCTCAACGACG